AATTAAACTTGTGCTATATTTGCATCTGCAAAGCATCAGTTAATCAAACATAATGAGTTAATCAGACTCACTTTTCTGAGGGGAAAATGTAATCATGCTTCATCATCTTCTGTGTTGCCATTAAGCACTGACAGACTTTCCATACAGAAACTGACTCTTCCTAAGTACTTGCACACCCAGCAGCACATCAGAGTTCTAGAAATTTTCTAGGCATTGTTGCAAAGCTAATAGGAAATACTGGTAGTAAAGCTACTTTATAGGAGCTTTTGCTTTATATTATGACATCAGTTAATAATAGCAATTTGAAGGAGACACCAAGCATGACCCAGGAAGGAGATAATACTCTGCACCCCATTTTTTGCAGTTAAGAGGGAAGCCAGTAGGTTATTTAGCAAGACTGCTGCCAGTGAACCAGTATGTCACCCAGATTTCTAACACCAAACAGCAAGAGCAAGGAATTAATCCTCTGGTGGCCTCTGCAGATTTAGCAATTCTGTATTTTTTTAAATTAAATTAACAAATTAAAGGCAGCTATTGCTGGATGCAATTTCTAGCTATTTTAATTAATTTATTTTTAATCCCATGAAGAAATAATTTTTACTGTCTTGGTTGCTAGCTATTTAAGATATTGTGGTTACATTTTTGGTGTCTTTGGTACATTTTATTGTAACATTGTCAGGGCACTGCATTCAATTACTACATCTCATGCTGTTTTACTCGCTACAAAGCATCATCCAAACATTTTCTAGCAAGTCCTTGTGGGTAACTATGTCCTGTCCAAGAAACACATGTATGTCCATGCGTTAATAGGTATGAGGTCAGTATCAAATTAGTAATTTGAATAAATGCCTCTTTAGTTTGGCTTCTGTGGTCTCAAACATCTTAGCTCAAGCTGCAATAGAATTTAAAAAAAATAAACACATCTTAGCATTAAACCAAGTGCATTTGGAATACTAAGGCTTATCTGATAGCTGTCTGTTGTGCCTCTGCAGCACTAAAACTTGTCCCAGCTTTTCACTCCTTTCTCCCTTTTCCAGACCTCATTATCCCTTAGCCTCACAGATGTGTCAGTTCTCTCTACTGGATGTCCCAGTTCCTCCCTTCATTGCTACTGCTCCCATCATGTTCATGGGGAAGGGAGAGTCTCAAGGGGAAGCACAAACCCACACCGATATGCAGCAGCAAAGGGACAAAGGGAATGAGAGACACATCTAGCTGGGGAATGAACTGAAGCGACAGCTTGTGGCCAGGAGGTGGGAAGGGAAGAAGATAATAGCACCCATAGATTAAGGAGAGAAAATAGCTTGAAATAAAGCTTGGTAGGTCACAACCTGCCAGATCATTAAAGGCAATTGAGTGTGAAGGCGCGCAAACCCCGGCATTGACAGAGGGGACACGCCTCAGAAGAGAGAGGGGACTAAAACCCAGAGGCAGGAAGTCTAAAAGATGGTGAAGGGAATTAAAGAGGCTACAAAGTCATCAACCAGGAATCTGTGGAATGGCCTTTCAAGCATCGTACAGTATGTTCTATTTTTCCTTTCAGGCTGCATCTCTATAGCTGAGCTAGAGCACTCACGTGGGAGACCTTGCCCAAACACAGTGGAAGCTATAGCTAACACACAGAAAAATTAATCTATCTTCACTGTCAATTATGACCCTGTTCACTGTATCATATTTTCCTAGGGAGGGGATATGTCCAGAACACTTTCACAGACAGGTCATGGAACTGAGGTGTTGGATATCCCTAGAAGCATTTCTCTAAATCAAGTTTTGAAAGGAAATAAATAGCTGACAGGATATGATCCTGACCTCCTCAAAGTAACCTAGATTAGCATGCACTGTACAATACTGGCTTTGAGCAAAAATTTCCCTTGTACAAATGCTGTAGACACTTCCTGATTCTCTGTGAAATTGGGAAAACATTAACAGTTTGTAGAAGAGGAAAAGCAGCACTGACAGTAAAGAATAGTGAAGAGAATGAAATCTCACCGATTTAGCACATCAGTGCTTCTCATTCCCTGCTGATCCAAGGCAGTAAAGGGAATAAGACCAGAAAATAAATAATATTCCTCAGAAAGACATAAAAATGTTAAGTCTACTAAAATCCACATTTGCCCCGCCAGTCTCTCTGCAAGCTGGATCAACTTGCTTTGCTCATATGAGTATTTTCATTAATTTAAACTGGAACTTTGCCTGACAAAAGCGCACTGGATCTTCCCTTTCTGGGCAGAAGCACTGTAACTACCAGCTGAAAAACATCAACACTCCAGATAAGCCATCAACTATTGTATCAGTTGATTTATCACTGATTAAACACTCCCAAGTTGCTCGTAGTCCTCAGAATTAACATAATTGAAAAGCAAATAGGTTGTAGGCTGATGGTCCTTTCATCAGTTTTGGTGATTTCCACCACATGTAAATCCAGAGCTGAAAGCACAGCTCAGAGATTTTACAACAGCAAAATTCTATTAATTTATCTTTAACATGCATATCCTTGGTCCTTATTAAAACTATTTCCTACTTGTAAACAAGACACTCAACTCACCATCTAATGTTGCCAAGATATAAAAGATACTCTTACTTTTGAGACATTACAAATTCCACTAATTCAACAGATTGTTTTAGAAAGAAATGCATAGGCCTGCTCTTTTGCAAGTGGCATGGTAAACTTCAGTGCAAAGTCCCATAATCTAAACAAATTAAATACTGACCTAATATGAGAGTACTTCAAAAAAGATTATGAAAATATCATGTCTTAATTGGTTGATATGTTTGACCCAGCTGTTAAAAATGCAGCGGCTTACCAGCCCGACAGCTGGAAGAATCACCAAAGAGAAAACCTTTTCAGAAAAGATACTCTTTTTCTCTTTTCTTCTCTTTTTTTTCTTCTTTTCTTTAATTTTTTCTTTTCCTTTTTTTTCTTTCCTCTTTTTCATTTTCTTTTCCCTGTCTTTTCCTTTTTTAATTCTTTCCATTGCAATTCTGCATTAACTGTGTTGCTTCAGGCAGATGGCCAAAAGTAGCATCTAGAATTATAGGGAGCAAATCTGTGTCATTTTCACATGCATCTGTGTGGGGCCATGCCGGATCTGGGGACAGAATCTCAGAGAGAGAGGGTAAATTCAGTGCTGACAGCCCTTGACGGGAGGTCAGGCTTCACTCCCTGGGAGTCACAGCCACCAATTCTCTGGGGGTCTTTGCTTATGCTACAAACATGAAATCTTAATAGGCATGACATCTCCTCTACCACTACAGATACTTACAGAGCCATCTCTCCCTTGAAGTGTGCCTTGTGAGCTCATGCCAGTAACTAGAAGCATCCAGAAATCCCAGTCCAGGCTGGCAAGTTAGGGGCAAATCTTGCAAACACAACCAGTGGGTAGCACAAATTGTTTTTCAGGAACTGGGTGAATTATAATCAAATATTCTCAACATTGCACTGAATACACAGTGAAGTGCTGAGGATGTTGTACATGGGGGAAGGTGGCAAGACTTCTCCAAAAGGCAAAAGCTGGGCAGCAGAGACTCACAAAACTCATGAGACTGCTAACACTCAGGGGGAAAACAGGACTTGTATTTGGACATTTTGTGAATATGTAGAAAACAAAAGAAAATCCAAGGAGAACGTATAAGAAGGTGCATTGGGCACCTCTATCTCCTGAAGGTGATAGCAATGTAATTGTAATTAGTAAAATGTGAACTAGAGAAGAGTACAGTACTTTAGTAATATGAAACTTCATCACAGCATCTCTTGCTAAACTTTGCTTAGAGGTAAGGAGAGGCAACCAAATTCTGCGCAAATTATAAAGCAATTGAGTGGCTATGGAAAGAAAGCTTGGAAATTTCTCAGACACAAAAACCAAAACTACCACTACTGTTACTATGCTTGCACACAAAACCAAATTATAACATTCAATTATTAGGAAGCTGATGTGAAACACTTTAGCAAATTCAGTGGATTACTTGAATTTTCAGCTTCTCTGCTACTATAAGGAAAGTTTAAGCAAGTACAGACCCTTCAGGCATTGAGTATTTTGCCTTTTTAGTGCTGAATGTTGGCACACTCTCTTGCTGCTAGAATGTTGCTTATGAAAAGCAGCTGTATTTAGAGATACTAATAATACCCAATAAAATCTACATTTTTTGAAGAAGTCTACCTCTTTCAACATCACAACACAAACATTCGTACCATCCAAGTCAAGACCTGAGAGGAAGAAAAGGACTGATGATTTAAAATGTTGCTTTATAGTTTAGCGCAAAGACAGTTGAATGAAGATTATTTTCTATCAACTTGCAAGTTTCCAGACAGGGTAGGGAGGAAAGAAGACTGCACAAGCAAGTCAGAGTGTTGGGGTTTTTCCCCCTTAACCTTCTTTTTCTTTTCTATAACCTTTTCTATCTTCTTCACATTCCAACTCTAATAACCAAACAAAACTTCCACAATCATTGGAGCATATTCTGGACAAGAAACATAGAATTAGTTTTCTGTCTTATTAAACAAAGGACTGAACCTTAAAGTATACCACAGGGATAGCATGATTTTTTATTCTCACCAAGGATAAAGATACCAGAGTTCAACTTGCCAGGTGTGATTTCTAAAACCAAGTTTGTTACACTGCTGTGAATTTTTTACTTCACGTTCAAATTTTCCCCACCTATTCAAATTCAACTCATTTACTGTCTTGAGAGTTACCAAGAAATTTCTTCCTTTGCTTCTGGCAGCCTTTTGAAGGAGTCGAAAAAAAGAAAAGATGATAGTTTTATAGATTGCTCTTTCTTCCATCAGTTATTAACCCTACAGAGAAAAATGAATGGTTTAAACCTCCCACTTGCACAGTTCTTAACATCTACTATGAGATTATATTGTCCCAGGCAAGCCCAATGAAGTAAATTAATTAATTTAGGATATTAAAGCTCTGAAAATAATATGAGGGGGAAGACCAGCAATTATTTACATACAGCACACGGACAGACACTCAAGCAATGAAGCCACGTCCTACCTCTCCTTGCCGGTGATAGTGCTTGGGAGGTTTTCCCATCTGCTCTAGCATTTTGCCCTTCTTACTGCTAGCAAGCATCAGTCCCTGGTGGATGCCTGCAGATCTGTTGGTTGCCTGAGTTGGAGCCTCCCCCATCAGGGTGGACTTGATGGAGTTCACCTTGGAGCTGGAGCTGTCTAGCTGGGAGCTCTCCACGATCAGGACCGCGGCTAGTAAGAGGAGACAGCAGGAGCACTTATTCCACATCAGCACGATCATCTCCCCTCCCCCAAAAAAGGATTATCTTTTTTTGTCCTTTTTTCCTTTTTTTTTTTTTTTTTTGGCTATGAGAACAGAAGAGAGGGGGTAAAAGTTTTTCTAAATATCTCCCGAAGTTGATAAGGAAGCAATGGATTTCAAAGCCACTCAAGGAACTGCTGCTCTGAGACACGGGAGAAAAATACTTTTAAAAAAGAATCTCCTAGGGAAAAAAAAAAAAAAAAAAAAAAAATAAAATAAAAAAAAAAGTGACAAGTCTATAGGCAGTGAGCAACTGTCAGGTCTGTGATGTCTTTTTCCTCCAGGTCCTCGAGAAGTCCAGGCAGTGAGAGCAATATGCTGCGAAGGAACTGCACCCGGGCAGCTCCCCGGCAGCACAGGCACCAGCACGTTTGCTAAAGCTTCAGAGGAAGAGTGAGCGACTTCCCCCCACTCCTCCTCTTGCTGCTCAAGCCAGCAGAGAGGAAACTCAAACCAGATCCAATCCAAGCAGCACCGGCAAAAGCTGGGCTTAGTTTTCTTTCACTCTCTCTCCCCCCTCTTTACTTTTTATTCCCCTCCTCCTTTTTCTGCCTTTTGCCTCAGCAGTCAGCAGGAGTGAAAGCGCCGGTCTCCTCCTACTCTTCCTCCTCCTCCTCCTCCTCTCCTCCTCCTCCTGCAGCCCGGTCGGTGCGGGGCGAGGGGTTCTGGGCATCCGGCGGCGGGGCAGCCCCGGGGCCGGCCCGCCGGGACCCGGCAGGGGAGGCAGAGCCCCCGCCGGGCTTCCTGCGCCGCTGCCCCTCGCACTCGGTGGTCTCGGAGTCTCTCGCTGGCCCCTCGGCAGCCCGCAATCCCATCCCCGGGGGGGACACTCCGGGCAGCGCCTTCCGACCCCTTCCCCCCAGCCCAGGGGTTCCCCTCTCTGCGGCGGGGTCAGCCCGGGCCGGGCGTGCTCCGCTCCCGGCCCCGCTCCTGCCGTGCCCGGCCCCGCTCGGGGCTCAGCCCCCCGTGCCCCCTCCCCGACACCGGGCTGCCGCACCGGGACAGGCGCGTCGAGACGCCCCGCAAACCCCGGAACGCTCGGACGCGCAGAGCTGGGAGGGCGTGGGGCGGCAAGCGAGCCCTGCCGAACCTGCTGCCCCAGCCAGCGATGTCCAAGCTCAGGGCACGGCCAGCCGAGAAGGCTGCGCTGCACTCTTCCACACCTGCCCCTTCTCACACCACAGTGCCAACATCAACCCAAGACACTTTCTTCGTATTCACCTTCTCCATTTCCTCGGCCTGAGCACACATCCGATTGTAAAACCCCCAGTGCTACGAAGTACACTCACACCATCCAAGACATCACCTCGCTGCAGCACCAAAACAGCGCGTTTCAGAAACAGAAGGTATATAGGGACACAGAGCACAAAATTAGCAGAACAGTACAACTCTTAACTTTTCCCTGCAAAAGCTCTAGAACAAAGAAGAGAACATCACTGTGAGGCACTCAGTTACTGCCATGGAGCAGCTACAAGCCCTTGTCCTTCCCCTGAGCATGTGAAAGGGGGTGGAGGGAGCAAAAGATGGTGAGGGGAACAGCGTTCTTGCTGTTCCACATGTTCTTGTATGAACATTACCTTGTCTGGGAACAGTGGAGAGAATTTTCATGCTTTTCCCCTCTTCTGAAGGGTCCCTCCTCTAATCAATCATTTCCTCTTACTCTAACCCTTTACATAGCAGAAAGGGGGGAACAAGAAATGTGCAGTTCGAAATTTCATTTATTGTAAATTAACTATTGTGTAAACAGCAGCTGCCAAGGCAAGAAAAACCAGAAAGGAGCCAGGCACCGTTGTGGCCTCCAGTGCTGCTGCTCCCTCGCAGTGAGCAGAAACCCTCCTGGGGACTTGGGAGCTCTGCAGGAATGCCCCAGGAACCACACCACCTTGGATAAGGTCTGTCAAATGTTGTCTAGCTAGTGTCATTTGACTGGTAGCAATGTGTCCTAACCTCATGGGCTGTATTATATTAAACAGAGCACCTTGTGAAGAATGGAGCAATTTCTGTCTTTATCCACAGCTCAAACCTTAGAACTGTTTGAGAGAATTTAAATTCATCTCCTGGGACACTTTTTGGATATTTTATCTTCTTTATCTAAGGATCTCTTTAGGGAATTACTAATTTTTTTGTTTTTAAGGAACAACTGAAATGACATATCAGTGTCAAGACTGAGTTTTAAACTCTTCTACAGAGTATGGCACTTGCTCTGACTCAGGCTTCAGATGCATTTGTGTTTACTGGATTTGAAACTGAAAGAAATTTTATTGGACTTTATTTCAGATTTCAAAAACTTAGGTTCAAAATTAAAATTGATTTTTTTTTTGTACGCAGCTTGGCAAAGAGCAAAGAATGAAAAAAAGCGCCCTCAAGTTTGTCTTCTTTGTAGTATTTCCTTTTTTTCTAGCTTTGGGCAGCTCCGAATAAACTAAAATTACCTTTCTGACTTAATCCTTGGTAATGCTTGGGGACATTTTGAAGGAAATGTTTCTGAAATATCAGAAAGGAATTTGCTACTTCACAGGAAAGAGATGTAAGCCAGTCTTTTTTGATTGTTTTTGACTTGGCTTTTGACACCCAGGCCTCATGGCGCTTCAGTCCTCCCAAACCCAAAAGCAAACAGTTATCCATGCCCACAGGAAAAGCTCTAATAGGTAATGTCATGGAAAATTCTTATCTCACCTGCGTTTCTCTTACCCAGGAACAAACACAAATTTTTAAGTCAGTGGTAGAGTACTATCCACCAGAGTTTCTTGGAATAAGGGAAGATTCTAAAGAAAACAAAATAATTTGATGAGACATACGAAGAGAATTCATGCCATTAAAAACACAATACAATGACCTCATGCCAATATCATACAGCTCTTCTTGAAATAAATGGACATGGGTGGTATTAAAAGAGGCACACAGCACATAAAGGATCAGATAGTAAGCAGACTCTAAATTAATTAAATATATGTCTATTAATACCTTATTAAAATTTTTATTTACATTAATACACGGAAAACTCAAGCCACATTACAAATCTTTAGATGTAAATAACAAAGTCCTTGTACATCCACAACACTTAGAAATTTGAAGAAAACTGGGAAGGAATGATCAAAGCTTTTCAGCTATCTCAGAACAGGTGCCCCAAACTCATTTTGTCAATCAGTCTGGATTCATTGAAGTATGAAGTTCATCAGTCAGTTGTATTCAACTAAGTTTCCAAGCATTAATTTAAATTTAGTGGGAATAGAAATGGGTAACTTAACAACAGGGCAAGATCTATCTTGTGACTCACTGCTCTGAAGGGCAGATATTCTGCAGCATCTCTGAGGGAGTGGGAACAGGTATTGCTTCATTAGCCTGACAGACATTTCCCTCCAGAGGAAGCAACAACCCACTTCACTGCAGGGCAGCTGCTGCCAGGCCAACAGGATGCTCAAGACCACAGAAAGCAGATGTAGATGGGCAGGACAACAAATCTGTGCTAGGGAGGAGCTTTTGTTTCTCTCCCCTTAACAAAAGCTTGTACTTGTAGAGAAGTACCTGTAGAGAAACTAGCTATTTGGTAGTTTGATGGGGAGTTTTTTGTTTTGCTTTTTCCCCCCCCATTTTTACCTAGCATTCAACCCATGCCTTTTCTACTTCAAATACAGACTTCCAAACTGATGTGTAAATTACCTGTGCTCCTCACTTCAGCAGCCCTGATGCACGTCAGAGTCTGTACACAGACTGATTTCACAATATCCACTTAAACAAGCCAGTATGGAGGCAAAAATATGAAGAAGCATCACTGCTTTCCAGATTTATGACTGTGTCACTGCAACTTAGGTTTTGAGAAACATCAAGAACTTCTAAAACATAAAATGCCACAGGGCACATTGTGTTTCGCCATGGGGCTCCTCTACCAGAGAACCAAGTGCATGGAGTGCACTAAGCAGAGGTTGTCACACTACAGATCATGCAGAAACACAGTCTACCTGTAAGTTCTCCACTAAGTTTGATGCCTATTCTGGAGAAGTTAAGGCCCACATACTTGGTGTGTGGTTAGTCACTCCACTCAGAGCAATTCAGTATTTTGTGTCCAAAAGGACACTTTGCAAGTAACCATACAGAATAATGGAAGCAGCACTACCCAAAAAAAAAAAAAAATCAAATAAACCAGTGAATGGCAAATCCTACATGACATGTGGGAAAGTCACAAGAAACCTCTCACCAAGTGCCATCCTGAGTCTGCTCCTCACCATGGCATACATAACCACAAATCCTCCTGGGATGCTCAAGAGGTGGGACTTATCCCATGACCCTGGGTACATTCCACATTAACTGCTGTTTCTTCCTGAAGAATTCCAGTAGGCAGAAGGAGAGGCTGAGCTGGTTACAGCCCAGGCACAGAAGCCTGTCAGCTAAGAGGGCCATGATCATTAAATGCCAGTGAGACCTCCAGTGCAAACACTGAGAACTACATCAGCGGGCCACAAGTGTTCAGCTCTCCTTTCATTATAAAAAACATATTTATTGCAATACAGAAGTCTGCATTTGTATCTCTTTGGAGCTAAACTAGCATGCTTTCTGTAAGAAACATAGAGTTTTTCATGTGTCTCACTTGCACCCATGGAGAGGAGACACGACACAGATTCTCTTTATTTCTAAAGCCAGTATTCATTCCCTGAACAAATGCTGGAGGTTTAAATGGTTCAAACACATACTTCTATTTCACAAATGCTTTGGTTCTTTTAATTAAACTTGTTTATAAATTTAATGGGACAATTGAGTGGCCTTAAGCAAACAGAAGTTTTACAGAATTTTTCCAGTTATACAACTTATTCTTGACAAGAAAAGGCATAAAATTTATTTAAATCTGGGGTATTTTCATTCACAGATATCAATATTTTAATTCCTTTTCTACTGTCTCCTTGTTTTTCTTTGCCAGGGAGTTCCATTAAGTTAATTGTAGGCCTTTTTTCATTTTTCTTGGGAGGAGAATAGGATTTGGTGGGGGGAGGGTGTCAGGAGAAACATGGAAAAGAAAAGCAACCTTTTGTCATCTTGCTTCCCCCTCCTTTGACTCGGAAAGTTTTAAGAGACTAAATATTTGGAAAGAGCAGAATCTAGCAGAAGTCAAGACAAAAGCAAGAAATGAAGGAACACAAGAAATTAATAAACCAAATTTAAGACAAAAGAGAAATAGGATGTAATGAAGAGATCCTTTACCTGACCTCCTCCAAAGGGGCAAAATTACACACTGTAAATGTAAAATATTATGGGCACAATTACGATCCTGTATATTTTCCAGCATCTATATTTTAAGCCATGTGACTTTAGTTGAACCCTTTTTGATTTACATCAGCTTTAGTTAACTCTAATGTCCTATGTTTTCCTTCCCCTTAAACAAACAAAATTACCTGTTCTTCAAATTAAATCTGTTTTTAATTCTATATAAATCATTTAGGAATACTTGTCATGCAAAAGACATTCTATTACATAGAGGTGTATTGGTTTTTGTTATTATTTTTTAGGTTTACAGCTGCACTGAATTTCCATTGCCCCTCACATAAACTCTAACAATTTGGATATGGCCAAATCTCTCCTAGCACTGCTCTTGGGGCCTATTATGTCTTTTATTATATTTTTGACTAAAAAAATTGAATCAGGACCATCAAACAATAACTAGCTTTTGCTAAGGCAATAGCTCAACAATATTATTTTTTGTAAAGTACATTTAAGGATCTCCTCCTTGAGGACGACTTTTTGGGTTCATTGATTTCCTTTTTTCACCATTTCTATATTTAGGTCACAATCAAACCCTCTCAACAGAAAAGGCTTTGCGCTAGACAGGCAAGAGTGTGCAGGCACTGCTGGTGGAATGGGGACCAAGGGCAACAGGATGCCCCCACTCCAGTACTTCCAGCAAATGTCTCATGGCCTGGGACTGTGGCCCCAGCAAAGCCCCCAGAGGACAAGCTGGGGCCTCAAGCCATGACATGGCTGTCCAGAAATACACAGTAATGCAACCCATGGCCACCACAAACCTCTTCTCCACAGGTAACATTTCTATATCACCAGCCCTCATTAGAGCTTATGCCACGCTGCACTGAAGTCCATAGGTGGTACTCCTGCCCCAGGAACTGTCCCCCCCGCTCCTCCTCCTCTTTCCCTCTTGACAGAGGGTGTGTGAAAGCCACAGCCATAACCCTGCGAGCCAAGAGTGCCACGGAGACCCTGCTGCAGATGCTGGGACAGACGGCCATAGGAGTAAAACTCCTCCTCCTCTTCCTCCTGTGACTTCATCCCTTAGGGCTCAGTGCGGTGGGACACGCTGTCGGTGCCCTGCAGGGTGGCGCAGGGAGGTGCTGGCAGCGGTGGCACTGCCAGCGGTGGCACTGCCAGCGGTGGCACTGCCAGCAGGGGCACTGCCAGCGGTGGCATTGCCAGCGCTCTCTCGCTGCCACCACAACACGCCTGGCCGGAGCTCGGTGCCGGCTGCGGAGCACCCCCCTGCTGACGCCGTGCCCGGCCACATCAAGCAGCCTCGGCTCACCTCTTCCTCTCCAAAGGTTCCCCTCATCCCAAAACTGTCAGCAGGCACAGCCACTGCTGTAATTGCCGCCTGACCCGGCTGGGTCGCGACGGGAGGCTCCAGCTGCAGCCCGAGCAGGAGGCACAACCACAGCCTGGAGAGAGGCAGGCTCACAGCGTGCAGCCCCGGGCACGGAGACAGGAGGAGAAATATCACGTCCTTTGATTTCTGTATTTTTGGGTCTAATTCCTAGCACCATGCTCCTCGTGAGCAGGAAGGCAAATGATGCAATAAAACTGTTTTGAAATTCTTATTTATATTTTTTTCTCCTGCTGGTATTTTTTGAAAAAGATGAGTACTGAATGTTACAGTTATTCCTCATAAATAACTCCTTTTGCTGATTAAAACAGGCCAGGATGGTGTCAGAGTTAATTCACAACACAGTGTGCTGTGACTAGCTTGGTTGCTCGCAGTCCAGGATTTCAATCAGCCTCTCTGACAAAAATTAACCCTTTGGAGCAGGAATAACCAACTTCTTGGAAGGATGGCAAAGCACTCCCAGCCCATCAAAATTAATAACCATTGTTAAACATTGCGTCAAAAGCCAATGCAATAATAGGTCATCTTAAATTATTTCAAGCTATTTATTTTTTTTGTCCAAAACACCTTCACCATGTCAGTGAACTAAACGCCATCTGACCACACTCCCAAAGCCACCTGTATTTTAGCGCTGATCAGACAAAGAAGTTCTTTCCAAAATGAAGGTTTCAGCCAAACACAATGAGGGGGCAGGTCCCACCCTTGGGAGACCACAAGCTAAACCCCCCAGTCTCCCCCACAATCTCCCTGGGGGCCAACCACACATGCAGAGCAAAGGCCAGGCAGCACTCCCCGTGCTCCTGCTGTGTGTGTGTGTGTGAGCAGGAATGCTGCTGGCCCCACCAGAGCTTTCCCCAGCACCAAGAGCCGTGGGGAGGATGTCTGTGAGCAACACTGGGAACGCTCAGCATGTTCTTTTCCAGAGGATCACAACTCACAAACCAAAACATGAATCCACGGTAGCTCAGAAAGGCGGCTGGCTTGATATGGAAATAGCTGAAATTTCAGCCTCTCTCCCTCTCCCAGCTGCATATGTTGAAGAGTTGTTAAAACAAGAAAAATATCTATAATTAGCAAGCCTACATACACCCATTTTCTTTGCAATATTTTTAGCAATATTGAGCCAAGTTACTCAAACTTTCCGAAGAAAAATAACCGTAAGGAAAATTCCCTTCTCTGAAAGGAAGGGAAAATGAAAGCAGTAGAAAATTATGAGGTTAAAAAGGGTTAGAATGGAAATCATTGTGCAACCTTAGCTATAATAAGGACTGAAAAAACTGATTGTTGTTTATTACATTTATTTCATGTTGTCTGATAAACAGATTTCATGTTGTCTTCAGCAGTCACAACTGAAGACTGTATAAAAGACCAAAAGTAAAAATACCTTTGTGCATATGCTTTGGCTTTCAAACCTACCTTATATATGGTTTTGGAGTTAGGATGGTGTATCTAGAGGCTGTAGATATCCCACTCTCAGGGCAAGAGGAGACCCTCTGCTTTATAAATAACTGTGGTTGCTTCCTTCTCTGTATGACTGTTCAATATTATGGCCTGTCTTTTTTTTTCAAAAAACACCTAAAATATAAAGAGATAAATATTTTAAAATAAGCTTCTTTACAGCCCACTTCCATCCCCCCACCCTCCAGTTTTTGTACCACAAGTATATTGCTTTAGAATCTGGAGATTCTAATATGATGGAAAAAATTCCTTGCCCATAATAAAAGAATTTATGCTTAATGGCTAGTTCATTAAACAGGCTCAAAATCTGTCCTACTAACAGGTTAATACAACTGTATTTTATTGCATAGCAGAGAAAAAAGAACCTCAAGGCAGCACTAAAGATACCATAGCTCTTTGATCTATCTGTCACTGAAAGTGGACAGCAATAAAATAAGGAGTTCAGTCCATAGTGTTTTAAAGACATTGTCTACACATCTTCTAAATAGAGTAGGAGGAAAGTGCAGGATTATGGTACATTTTTCTCCCTAAAATCTTTGAAGAAGGTAAAATTAGGATAGCCATTTAGTGAACTGTGCAGGCTTCATTCCTGGCTTAATGCACAGGCGAGGGAGAGCAACTGTGAAGCTCGATGGTTACAGTCACAACAAGGTGCTGCAGTTTTCCTCTTGCCAGTGGATATTTATACTCAGCTCTCTGGCTGTAGCTATTTCCCCATTTTATTCTTGGTGCAGGAAAATGACAAATAAAGGTGAGGAGAAGAAAAGGGAGGCTCTCCTCTTTGGTGTGCAGCCCAGTTTGCTAGTGAGAAGGGAGCTTGCTTCACTGCTCAAAGCCCAAATAATCCTGGGAGCATCTAAATTTACTCCCATCTGGCTTGGTAAACCAGTCTCATTCACAGCCTTTGGTAATTCGAAGACAATGACTATGTAAACCTCAGCCTCAGCTTCCTTCCCAAGGCTTGGCTCCGTCTATCACTGTGCTCCAGACCCTCCTCTGTCCCAGAGTTTTCCAGATGAAAGGGTTAATTGAACCTTTTTGCCAGCCTTACTCAGCTTAACTTCTCTGGGTCTTAGAAGAAGTTAGCACTTGAACCTCAGCTGGTGACTCAGAGACCCCTGCTAAATGAATTCCTGGTTCAAGTGCACTGACACTGATGGAGTTACAAGAGGAACAAAACCGGTCCTTTGCCTTATTTGCTGTTATCCACAATAGGCAGCTCTATTTTTCTACATAACAAGTACCAGAATACTGACTATATTAGCTGCCAAGAAATGCAGAACAAACAGACTTACATGTTTTTCCCTTTATTTCCATCATCTGACCTTTGCTTTTTATGTCTTAGGAGCAAGCTGCAACTTTATTTACATGTATAATCTAGATGAAATGCTAGTTTGTGTGTAGAAAGCTATGTGGACTTTGGTCTTTGAATTTGACTTTCCTTTTTTCAGAGCATAACATAACAAATTAATGGAAACATGGAAATGTGAGGTTTTCAAATGATTCTCATTTCAAGTTTCTGATTCTTTCAGCCCAGACTTGATCCTTTATTCTTCCCTAGAGGTTTGAAGCATTAGTTCATAGTCTAAAATATAAACTTGTGTCCTGACACAAAAGGTACTAAAATCATTCATATTGCCCAGTTCAATAATAATAGCTTTGGAATCCCCATGAAAAGATTGACTGTAACAAAAGATGCTACTGGCCATCTCAATTTTGCATGAAGTATCAGTAGAGAGAAAATTAATTATTAAAACAGTGGAATGAATTCAAATTATTAGGAAGAGAGAAAAATCTAAGAAACAGAGTAAATATTAAGAGATTTAACATAAAAAGTGAACCAGATAATAATCTAGGTAGGACTTATGGGAGGTGAGAAGAGTTTAAATAGAATCACAGAATCACAGACTGGTTTGAGCTCAGCAATCCCAATTCCCTCACCCTTTCCTCACACAAGAGGTGCTCCATCCCTCCCAATCAACTTGGTGGCCCCTCCTTTGGACTTGCTCCAACAGGTCAATGTCCTTCCTGTGGTGGGGACCCCAGAGATGGACACAGCTCTGCAGGTGGTGTCCCCAAGGTTTCAAATCTGCAGCTGAATACATTGACTCTGGTTTTCTTCACCAGGCTGATCAACTTTGGACATTTACCTTATATTTTCCAAAGCTCCAATTTTTTACTTCTGTGTATCTGCGTAGACTTGGCTCTGATTGCTAGTGAGAAAGAATATCCCACTTATACCCCATACTCTATGTCCAGGCTATGCAGTCTTCCCAATTTTACATACCAAATGAAAAACAACATGGTACTGAGATATGCTAAATCTTAGTCTTTCTTGGTTAGGAATTTTTCACAAAACAACAGTAAGTAGCCCACAACATTGAAACAAGGGGAATGAAGAATAAAAAAAAAAATAAAGTGCTAACTTCTACTTATAGTTCTTATTAAAGCAAAGCATCAATTCTGACATAAATATTTAAATACTGTATATGTTTACTGAAAAAATCTTTTATATCCATGCCTCCATACATCAAAAGAACACTACTATGATAAAATCACTTTACCTAAAACTGAACAAGAGAAGGTTCTTCACAGGGATTCTGTGCATAATCAAAGAAAAAATAATTTGGGTTAACTGATATACCTGTTTTATTAGTGGTTTTTTTACCATTCACATGGTTATATTAGTGAGTTTTTTGCTATCTCTGCTCCTACCAGTTTACAGATGATCACCAACTCAGTATGTCTGCGGCAGGAGCCGGGAGCTTCTCTGTGGAAAAAACCAGCCTTCCAAATTGTATGGTACTATTTATTAATCAGTGGCTAAGACACTGGTTTTTTTCATTTGCTACCACACACAACCACACACATGGTCAGCAACAAACCATCAAAGCAGTCCAGATGGTTATTCCCAGAGTTAGGTACTTTTCAGACAGGAATGTAAAAAATCTAACAAACCAAAGGAGGAAGAACTAAGGCACTTTTTGAGGGGACACCATTTACAACTCAAGAGCAACAGTGACATTAACTGTAAGGCACAAGCTCAGCACAAAGCATCCGGGTGGTAGAATTCTGCTGCTTCAATGAAAGCCACTCTTAGACTGCATTCATTATCAAAGAGAGAAAAATACCTCTCAAAAAAACCCAATAAAATCAATTAAGATGATTAAAACTTACTCACACGCAGTGGCTCTCTGACTTTAACATTATTACCTCTCAGCTCCTAAACACTGAATTTACAGGCGACCAGCTAATCACAGCACCTTTTGATAGCTTTTTCATTCTCCAGCAACAATGCCACCTGAGTTTTGACTCAAAGGTTGTATTATTTTTTGATTGCATTTATTAAAATGAGAAGAAACTTAATGTAGTCTAGTTCTAATTCTTTATATGATCATAGCAAATAGGACTACATTTTCAATAGCTTTAGAAAACATTCATTCCCATAGGCCCAGTGCTTTTCTCAAGGTGGAAAAGATGAATATTGCTTCCAGAAGACAAGTACAGTAGCTGGAGATGTGGTACAGCAAACCTGGTTAAGTCAGTTAAATTCTGAAGTTCAGAAAATTTTGTTTCGAAATGCTCCTGGGAGGAGGAACGTGGTCTCAAAAAGCAGCTCCCCATCAAACTGGCACATTAAAGCCTCTATGAGCTGGTGAGCAGACCTCCCTCCCATCAGCCTGTCAGATACTGAACTTCGCAAGACAAATGAAACTATCTCGGTTTCATAAGACTTGTAAAGCAAGAACGTATGTAACCTGCTTTTTCAAAATGCACGTGCTGCAAATACAAATACTGACTGTACTGACATTTCTCCATTACAGCTTAAAATAACATCCTGTGTGATGCCTATATGCTGAGCTGTTAGCTCAGTTTTGCATTTTCTAAACACTGGGTTTGCTTTCAAAGAACAACACTCTGGTTTCTGTACAATGCATGAGAGCACACTGGCTCTTCAGCTGGGAAACAAAGTTAAGAATGTGTGGGCTTTGGCTTCAAAATTAACCATGCTTTAGTAATCTAGTATACTAAACTGTTTCTTATTAATGTATCATGCAAATACTCTCCAGTCCTCCCACAAGTCTGACACTTTCCCAACATATCAATAGCAAATGTTCTGTGAAATGCAACTTTTCTGATGTAGGCCACCCTGACTTTCAGTGTGATCTCAACCCACCATCCAAATCTTCATGGCAGATGCAGAATGGGTTCTTTAGTAAGGGAAACAATATAGGGGGGAAAAAAAGTTTTGTTGCTACTTTGATACATCAAATTAATTTTCTTCATCAGAGAGACTGCTTTTGTTTACTCTTTTTTTCTTAATTATGGCTGAACAGCATCAGGTTTATTGTGTTCTCAGAGTCAGAATGTAAAGTTATGTCGGGAGAGGGTCGGTACCAGCCCTTCATTAGTGTAACTAGCTGATTTTAAGTACAATTTTGAAGTGACTCAGCTTAACCCCAGCTGTTTTCTGTCTTAATGCAGAGGAGATGGAGAATATAACCAGGGAATTTTGTTACATGACAAATATGCTCTGCAGAGGCTGTGCCACTACTGTCCCATCTCCCAGAGCAGATTTTTATGTGACATTGCTGTTGCCAGTGCACCCGCCAGCTTCACATCCCTTCTCCAGGTGGCAGATACAACAAGGAGAGCACAAGGTAATGTGTCATTAACCAACAAGAGCTATTTGTGTGCAGGCTGGCAGCAGCAGAAAGCAGGGGGACCTGCCCTGCTGGCCAAGAGGCTTTGAGGTTTGCCCCAGCAGCTGCCCCACCTCGGCTGCTAGCAGCACCAACGCAACCCTCACCCTCGCTGCTTCAAATGCACCGGCCTGAGTCCAGGGCTCACCACAGGTTGTGGCCCAAGCAGGAGGCCATTCAAAATGAAGGCTATGAGAGCAGTATACAGCCACTGATATTTGGTTTTCATATGTTTGTGCTTTACATCTTTTTATGCTACAATTAATGCCACAGTGTGAGCTACTCTCCTCTGACTCAGCCATGGCATCTTTCAGGAGCTTTCTGTAGGCACTGCTGAAACAGAGAACTTTGAGAAATCATAAAGGAGGGTGTGGTATTCTAAATTTTAGCTTTTTCTCTCCTGCTTTTCACATT